TGTATTAAGGCTTTGCAGGTTTGTGGTAATTTCATTGCTACCATTATGCCTGTTAGCAATTTTGCAACATCCTGATAAATATTTTCCATAAATCAAAGCCATAACAGCATGCAGAAGCAGATGGCAGGAGACCATATTAGAGAATTAACAGTTACTTTCCATAATGGAAAAATATTGGATCATTGTTGTCAGCCTGGCCTGTGTAGCAAGCAGTTGTCAGTTGTGAAGTCTTGTGGCACTTAAGTATCCTGTCAGATGATTAACCTGTATGGCATCTCCTGCTGCAGTCTACATACAAAGACAGGATAAAGAGAAGTGTATTATAACATGTAATGGTTATGCTCTTTCACTTAATATATGCAAAGAAAATATTGGTGCATTTAAAAAGTACTTGTACAAAAATTCATGTATGCATTTAAAGTACACCAATGTTCTTCATTTTCATAGAAAATAAGACACATTACTTTGTTATTAAGATGAAAAATAGCAATAATTATGAATTCTACAGTCTTATTATATTAACACTGTTTTCTTGATATAACCAATGTTAGACTAAAATTATTGGAATGTTACTTCAGCTATTCATATATATGGAATGCTATTACAGTCAAACATTTTTAACTACATTGTTATTAAGATTAAATAGCTGAATTAATTTTTAGCTTTGCATGCCATATGCAACCTCTGCTGCTAGATAAGATTCTGGAATTTAGTTTGTCTAAACCTTCATACTCATATTTTTCAAAATAAGAGATTATGGCTTTAAAATTCTTTTGGGAAAATAATGATCTTCTCTTTCTTTGAACTATTTTATTTGTTACACAAAATAAGATTTAAATAAACTATAAAGTTTGTTTTGGTAGAAAACTCTATCATCTTTGACTTTAAAGGTAGCATAGGAATAGGCTTGTAATTTCTCAAACAGCAAAGTCATTTTTACTCTTTAAACCATCAAAGCTGTAAAAACCAGGATTTTACTGAGGATTTTATCAGCAGAAACAATAAAAATCATGTGTTTGTTAAGAAATACACAAAATGAGCCCTCAATGCAAAAAATACACAAAGTGAGACCCTCAATGAGGATAAAAAGTTCCTCTTTGTGTATAAAGTACACACAAGGGCATCTTATTCTCAAATTAAATGAATTTTAGGAGAGGTTGTTTTTATATCAAAATAACTCAGTTCTGATAACTTTTCATACACTCACATTCTACATGAAACTCACAGAAAATAAACTGAACTTGTGACACAGAAACTGTGAAGTAGGTTTTGTAAAACCAAACCACAACCACCAACAACAAACTAGGAGCTGACTATGTTGGCTAATCTTGAACTCCTTGTTTTTGAACTCCTGCTTCAACTGTTACGGCTTCCCAAGTACTCTTATTTACAAGGGTGTACCACAAGTTCCAGATGATAGATAGCTTTTTGTAGGTTTCTTAACTCCTCAATTTAAAAAAAATATTTCCAGTTTAAAAAACATACAAATAATAAAATATATAGCTATTAATAATGCTGAGAAGTTAATCACAGCAGCAGCTCTCATTTGATAGGCAGTGGGATGAATTCTATCTATCATTTAGGTTGATGTAAACATATGAAGAGACCAGGCCTTGGGGTAGGCCAAATGATGCTCCTTTGTAGCATCTCCAGACTCTTCCTCACCTATACTGAAGTAGATTCAAGCCTCTGTTGTTTTCACATGCCCAGCCTGATCTAATGCTGAAAACAGCAATATGAGTAATGGATTTCAGGTTTCATGCGCATCTCAGATGTTAGGAGAGAAGATGTCAGCGTGAAGATACTGTAGAAGAGTTCGATGAGCTCAAGTTCTTTTTGAGACTTACAATGTGCTGGTATTGGCCCTACAATCCATAATACATTTTTAATTAAAAATTAGAGTAATCAGTTATGGCATCCATTTACTTAGATTTTTAAATCCCTTGTAATAATACAAAAAGGACCATTTTTATAATAGCACAAAATATAAGAAAATCCTAATATTACATACATTAAAGGAAAAAGATAAACAATTTTTCTTTTATGAAATATAATTTCTTCTAAGCTTGTGGTAAATAGGCACATTAAATCTAGAAATATGTTATCCATATTTTAAGGAAAGCCCTATAAAGCATTTTATGTACAGTCACATATGAGCATGAATAGCTCATTTGGCTATTTATTTTTCATAGGAATTATTTTTACCTTTACAGAGAATGCCAGGGTCACTGATAAGACCTTCAACCGAGAGAGTATGTTCTGGGCACATGTTCTCCAACTGATACAGGAAATGTTCCAGAGAACAAGCATTAAAGAAAATGAAAACTACACAGTTACATCTAATCATTGGGGGTCTTCATTATTGTCAGAGAATTGGGAAATGGAAAAGGCTGATTAATGCAAATCCACGAAAAAGAATCCAACATTTTATAATAAATGGGAGAATAGATTGGCTTGGTCATTATCTTGAAAATTTTACTAAACTTATCAGTGAAATTGTGCATTACTTCTTTACATGATTAGCAAATTATTTATTAATAGTGATTTAATAATCAGTCTTTTCTGACAGAATTCTTTGACAAATGATTTTACTTTCTCTGATAGGTAAACTCTGTAACAATATTCTTTTATTCATCAGTTTTTTTCTAAGACTCCTATTTGCTCAAATAACTTATTTTTTAGTTTACATTATTTTTAACTTGAAATGTATGTGTCATGCCAAACTTTATTGTAAGATGTATACAAAAATCTAATATTCACAGAAAAACTAAATTTTAAATGTACAACACACAAGAGAAATAATTTGTTGAGTAAGGGTTGTTACTTGAATGCCAACTGCTTTGAGAATGGACATCTTCTAACAAATCATTTTACGTTTGGTAAGCTTTTATTTTCCTATGCAACCTCAACACCATTAGAATTGGAGTGTTGTTGGTGTTAAGTAGTCCTTCCACTATTTAAGGTGCTGTCTGCCATACCTGTGTTCCAACAGAGGATAGATACAGAAACTTTTCATTTGGTGTCCACAGAAATGTTGCAGGGAGCTTTAAAAACTTATGATGTGGGAAAATTACTGTCCATACATAACACAAGAATAAATGCTAAGTTCTCAATGCATCTATGCCATGAAAAGTTAAAAATTGCTGTCTAATTTTTTAAACTTATTTTTGTCAGCAGGGGGCATAAAAGCATTCTACTCTGTCTCAAAAGCACCTTTGCCCACTTTTTTAATTCCCTGAAATCACGTATTCTGAATGGAACATTAAATTTATTACCCTCTTCTCCAGAATTATCAACCTGTGCCAAGTCCTTATGTTACCCAATACTATGAGGCCTTCCTTTCATGGACAAGCTGTATCACTTCAAGAGGATGGAACATGATGTCAGAATAACATCACCTGCACAAGCCTTAGAATTTGATGAAAGGGGACCCCAGAAACACAAAAGAAATAATCCTCTAGCTAGAACAGTATGGTTCCCATGGGCCACGAAACAGCCATTTCCCTATGATTTTCGAAGTCAAATCAAATTATCACCCCCGAGGGAAACTTTTGTCATCATTATTAAAAGTGTTAAATGCTCTCTTGAAAAATATTGAGAAAATCTGTTTTCAAATGACACATTTTAGGTTGAACCAATCCATCTGACTAATGGCCATTCCTAGAAATTATGAATTATTTTTCTAAATCTAACAATAAAATTATTTTAATACTCCCAAATCAGCACTGAAAAATGGTAAGCAAGAGACAACTGATATCCAGAAGGAGTTAGTGTTTACCACTTTTCATTAGCATAAGGACTTGAAAGTTTTTTGGTGATACATTGTGAACAAAATACTAAACCTGCTTGAATATTTTAGATATTACAACTCAACCAAGAATTACACATTTTGTTATTTAAGTTTCTATTCTAGTAACAAATTTAACTTCTAGTTTATTATGACATCCTAGATTCATTTGTCTCTATAACCAGATGTCAACATCAATTTCTAAAACCTCCTGAAGAAATGTATACAGATCTGTCAATCAAGTGTCTCATGAAGGCATTTCCCCACTTACTTTCTTTGGTCGTTTGGTTGATATTAGTCCCCTCTATTAATCCCCCTTGCATTCATCTTGTGCATTTTACATGGCCCAGTTCCCCTCAACTTTTAATTCTGTACACCCTTTACTCTTTGGTTTTGTTTTAATGTTGTCTTGTTAAGTGTCTCCTCAAGAACTAGATCATGTACTTATCTCCTCAACATTTTCACAGGGCCCATTGCAGTTATAACTATTCCGGCATCAATGATGATTGATTCATGATCATTCATTGAGGTCCAGCCATAATGCCAGACATAGTAATATGTGTACTGATAAAATTCCCAAAATTGAGACAACTTCAAGAAAAAATAGAACAGCAATGGAGTACTGTATATACAAATACTTGCACTAAATGGTAACAGAAAGGAAGAACATGGGGCACTATAAGTTTCAAGGGGAAAAGAACTTCATCTTTCACTCGCATTTAATAAAATAAAATAATAGTAATTCCAGCTAACAGATTATCAATTGGTGATCTAATATTCAATTTTTAGTCAATGATTGAGATAACCTACATCAATAAGAAATCTATATCTCACAGATGTCATGATGACAAATTTTAAATCCAGATAAATTTTTCTAGTTTGGGGACATTTTATATTTTAGTTACTAAAAGTTATTATCATACACCGTTTAAAGAACAAAGGAAAACTTGGAATATAGTTTATGGCATTGATCAGATAATCAGAGAAATGAAGCAAAATAAAATAATATATCCCACCTACATTATGTGTATTTGTGTACAATGGTTAAAACAGAGGACTATGTCCTGGAGGAGAGTCCTCACCATGTTCCTTTTCCTGAAGAGAACATAGATACATAAATCTGTAAGAAGATGTTCAGAATTAATCTCACTGAACTGATTGAAAAAGTCAGGATCTAATTTTAGAAAACAACATTTTTAGAAATGTCCGTTGCTTTATTTTGAAAAAAATTCTCATGTTATTACAGAGTTTCAAGTATGTGACAAAAAAGTACACATTTTTATATTTATTTTCCTGACAAGTATTCAAACATATGCAATATGTCCACGAGACAATGGAAAGGAAATTATCACCTAATTCGTTAGTCTTGATTCTTCAAAAAAAAAAAAAAACAAAGAAATGATGTTATAAGAGGTGACAGAGAATATGGGAGTGACAGGAGAGTGGTATATTGCAGTCTCTTTAAAGACTATAGTTCCAGTAATCCTGTCACTGTGTTCTGAAGGTATACCACTAGGGCCATTATTAAGTTGAGCAACTTTCCAAGAAAATCAAATTTAAGGAAATCTGGAGTCTTTAGAGAAAGGGGGGAACAAGACTGTGATCTTCAGCGACTCCTTAACACCTTGTTTCTTCTTCCCATGAATCCTCCCATTGCTTCTAATCGTTTTCCCCGCCATGGGCAACGTAATTCCTTGCAGAGAATTAAGTGAAAATAATGCAGATCGTGATTGCATAGCACCAGCATGGAGTTGCTTCCGGTTTGAGGACTTGAGCCTGTTTATGGCTTATAACTCATCACTGTCCTCCGAGCTAAAGCTGCTTCGACTGTTCGCTTTGGAGACTGCGGGGGAAGTAGCAGAGAGGAATGGGTCTGTTCCAAAGGGGCAGATTGTATCACTTAGTAGCATGCCGTCCAATCTTTGTTCCTCTTTCAAGGCAGCACTAAATGATAAATCTGTGAAGTGAGACAAAGGATCAGAGAAGGCCACAGCTTGCTCACAGAACTCTGGGCTTGTCCCCTGAGATGGAGTCAGTTGCTGGCAGCAGCCTACTGAGTTCTTCTCAGGATGGGCCTGCTGTTTGGTGATGTAGGGACTGAAATCAGCTGTGCCAAGTGAAGCCAGCATTGGCAGGCCATGAGCACGCGCTTGTATTTCTAGTTCCTGCAATTTCCAACAAGAGATTATAAATGATTAAATAATGCCCTGGACAAGCTGACATAATTATTGAAATCAAACTGGACAAAAACCAAAAACAAAATGTCACTTAATGATCAAAATGAAGAGGAGTGCAAACTATAAAAACATTTTACAAGTAAAGAAATCTGGTGTACTTGCAATGCTTAAAAATTCCTTTAAAAAAAAAAAAAAGTTCTCGAGGTGTCTGTAAACTCCATGGCATATGAGGTAGCATAGTGACTTGGGCTAAATAGTGTGATATGTAAATTGTAGAAAGTCTTCCAGTTAATCTCCTGTCATAACTCAAGAGCATTTCACTGAAATAAGGAAAGCATATGACTTGACCATGTGCATGTTGTATTAAAAAGGGATACAGTTTGTTTATAAAGCCCATATTTCAATACTTTGTCACATGTGAACAGATGAAAGGTAACAGTGTAAACTGGTAGAAGAAATTAAAGAGGAAGGAGAAACTTAGTGTCCAATATCATCTTACAGAAACAAATGCTTCACTTTGTTTGGTCTGTTTCTGTTTTTCAGTGCTGAGTGTGTGTGATGATGATATCCTGTGTGTTACATGAACATTTTACTTTCTTCATTTGCTGATTGGTTCTCATCCATCCTATGTCTATTTAAGACATCTTGATCATAGATCTCCAATCAAAATCAAATTGAAACAACCCAATTCAGAAGCTTCTATGTCAGTAAAATTATTTTTTCAAAGGGGAAAATTTGTTAATAAGAAAGTGTACAAATGAGATCAGTGAATGAAAGCACTGCTAGGATAGTCATATGTTCACTGTACAGCACGTGGCAACCATTTCATAACAACCTGAATCCGGAGCACAAGCTGCCGGTTAGCCTGTTCCAATTTCTTCTGTCTGTGTTCTAACTCCCGGGCTCTCTGTTGTTCTTTTTGTAGCCACTTGATGTACTCCACTGATGCCTTCAGAATGGTTCCTTTGTTCCAGCGCATATCACTGTAGAAGAGGGAGATAACCTTTTCACAATTGTGCATGTCAGCAGAATTCATAAGAACTTACAAAATCTTTTACATTAATATGAAATAATGATTTACATGACTATTATTCACTCTTAGATATTATTGCTTCTGAATAGAAATTTTAATAGAATAGTTAAGAAGCCCTTATATAGTAAAATTAATCCCAGAATGAAAATAAGTGTCAAAAGAAAGTAATAAAGTGACTTTTTGTGGGAGAGCTAAATGCAATATCATGATTCTACCATTACAGTTTTTATATTTTTAGTGAAAATTGCTTTTATTATTAACTCTAAGATTAAAATCTATGTGCAGTATTTCTGCATTAATGAACTAAGAAATGTACATTACTGAGGACTTAAGCCTAAATTTTTTAAGATCATTTCAGATGTACCAATCTTTTAACCTATTTCCTAATATGGTTGCTTTTGTTTCTAAGAAAGAAAAAATATATTCTTCCCTGAATAGTGATCCTGTGTGGTTGTGAAACACAGCAGAGTTGAGTAACATTGCTTTTTGCAATAGAGCAAGCTTCCTGAAACAATTTAATCAATTTTTCTGCACAAATGATAACAATGTTATTTTTGTGGCTAGATTCAGAACACTATTTTTTTTTAAAAAAAATTTTAGTATCCTTAAATATCTAAGATGAGTGAGTAGAATTAAGAATTTCTGAACATTTAAGTTTTGGCATAGAAAAATATTAAAATGCTTTTAATATAGGAGAAATAATAATATAGAAGTATAGAAGAGGCTAATAATGACCTTAGTATCTGAAAACCCCATGGATGTAATTCTGCATGAGAACTATTAATATGCATTATTAATAAGAACAATCTAATTACCAAATGTTAATTAAAGTGGTTAGAAGATGCTGGTGACTGATCCTGAAGCTCACTGACTACACTAGATTGGCTGCCAAGCAAGCTCCAAGACCCTCCTGTCTCCAACTCCCAGCAGAGGGATTACAGGCAAGCACACCCAAGCTGGATTTTTCAGTGGGTGCAGGGGTCTGGACTCAGATCCTCATGCATGAGCAGCAAGTACTACCCACTGAGCCATGTCCTTCACTCTAAAAGTTATTTGCATACAGTATAAAATAAGCATATAGCAAAAAAAAAAACATTTTCCTGCAGCTGGTTTTGTTTTACATTGTCTAAATATATACTGAAAGTAGTTCTGGTTTGTGTAATCTTTGTAAAGTATAATAAAGTTAATAAATGACTTATTGTGGGTCAAATGTAGGAATATACAGCCTATGAAACATCAATTTGACTATTACTCATGGAAACAGCTTGAGTGGGCTTATCATTAACAGCAGCAAGGTTTAAAGACATTTGAGTGGCCAACCATCTACTGAAATGAACCAAACCACTTTCGTGTTTGCTGTTGATCCAAGAGGTATCTGTAACTGAGAAATATTGTGGTCTCCTGAATTGAAACTCTTAAGTAGTAGCAGGAACCCTATGCAACCTTATTTTTGTTTCATTTCCTCCCATGTGGGGGAAGAGCAAATGAAGGAGGAAGAATTAGAAGCAAAAGACAAATCCCACACCCACGCATATATGATGAGTACAAAGTGAAACTAGTTGGATATATATGTATGTATATATGTATATATATATATATATATATATATATACACACACACACACACATATATATATATGGCATGAAGTTGGGAGGGGTGTTAAGGAAATAAATGAAGGAGGGAAATGTTCAACTTCCTTTGTATACATGCATAAAATTTCCAAAAATAAAGAAAAAATTAAAAGCAAAGGACAATCACAGCCATATCTGAACCCTAAAGACTGCTAAATTAAATCTAAAATACATCTACAAAATGAGGAGGAAGAATATAGTACCCTTTTGATTGCACCTGATGGCATTCTATTTTTGAAGTTCACTGTATCTGAGAGTATTTGACTAGATAAGGTCTGCTCTTCAAATGCTTAAAAATGTCCGTGTGTGTGTGTGTGTGTGCGTGTGTGTGTGTGTGTGTGTGTGTGTGTGTGTGTGGGGGTATATATATGGGAATACATATATATTCCCATGTATTCAAATGTCCTGTCTCCCAAAATAATTTCAAATGCTTCAGGATTTAAAAATTGAAGGAGTACAATGTTATTATAGAATTGTGAGCTGTAAAGTCATGGCTAAACAAAGAAGGGAGACATTATCCTTTCATTTTCCATAAGGTAATTATCCTTGAAGACCTTAACACTTCTGGGAGGAGACGTAAAAGTCTGAAGTAGGGTCAAGACAGTAAGGCCTAAGGTGTAATGGGTGTAGGATTTCCTTCAGGTGAAGATGCAGAACATCTCCATGAGCTGTCATCTTATGTGTGACATCCACTTCAAAATGTTAGAATTTTATAACCAAGAAATGCAGAAAAATACCAGGACACATCCGATTTGCATTTTTCTCAAATTACATTTCTCAGATCTAGTTTGTCTATATATTTTTTCTTTTTAACTCCACAATTTTGATCTGCAAAGAAGTACAAATTCTGAATGTTTAGGCATATAAAAATGGCAATGCCATTGAATTCAGCATCTTCTAAGTAGCACTGGCTTTGTTCCCCAACATTTAGTCTAGAGAGTTGGAAAGGCCCTCATCAGGGGACCCTCCACAATGCCTATGCCCAGGGACAGGTGACATATAGAAGCTGAGCTCCAGGTCTCCTTGCTCACTTTACTGGTCTGTTGACATTTGGATTTTGTTGCTGTTTGTTTGTTTGTTTGCTTGAGACAGGGTTCATTATGTGACCTGGGATAGACTAGAAGTCACTATATAATCAAGATTGGCCTCAGACTCATAGTGATCCTCCTGCCTCTGCTTCTAAGTACTGGAATTACAGATGTGAGCTATTTTCTTGAACTACAAAAAAAAAAAAGACTCCAGTCATCTTAATGGTTGTCACCTATGCAACCGAAACTCATAATCTCTTGATACTTTTGGTATTTTCCAATTGAGTTTTTAGTTTAACCATTGCCATAACAAAGCAATGAATGCTATTTATTACTCACTTTACTTTCTTCAAATGGAATCCTGCCTTCTCTGTATTGTCCCTACAATCTTTCTCTAGTATTTTGCTTGAAGCCTTTACATTATCTGTCTTAACATCTAAAACTCAACCAATCAGTCCAAATGTTTCATAGACTAGTTATTCCAGCCGTCTCTGGATCCAGAGTCTACTCTAGTAAAATCCTTTTCAAGATGCTACATTCTTGATTCAGCCATGGCATTCTCACCACTGAACCCCAAAGAACACTGAAGTAACAGGTGAGGTCTCTCCAATCCAGGGAAGGAAATACAGTAAAGCAGAATTTACTGTTCAGGTGTTTGAACTGAACTGGAACTGAACTGAACTAGCATGACTGGAGATGACATGCTAGCCATCATGTATAGAGACACATAGACATATTCATCATTTTCCTATTCAGTGTGTTTACAGTAAGATCTTAATGTTTGCATACAGATAGCATTTTCAAACATGAGAGTCAGGAGGACTGACTGATTTCCATAATGAAGAAAAAGATGCTTAAGAATGCATTTAGTGAAGGCTTTGCAACAATCTTCTCTTCTATCTGAGTCTGTGGTAAATTGATTTTCCATATTCTAGGCCAGAATGAGACAAATGATAGCAACAGACAGATTTGTCAATAGTGCTGTGGCTACAATCACTCATTTGCATGTAATCTTGGTCTGATTTGGAGACTATAGTGGCAGAGCTAAGTAACTTCAATATAGCCTACATAAAATATAAGGCATGAGATATTTATAGGAAAAGTTTTTCATGTGATATACAATGAGTTAAACCATAAAAAACTGCAATATCAAAGTAGCTATAAAATGTTAAAGATTACAATAGTTCAAACAATCTTTATAATGTATTCTCATACACCTTATTGATATTATTTTTTATAAAAAGCAATTTTGTGTATGGAGGGGTTAGTTGGCTCAGTGTCTAAGGCACTTGTTATTGCAGAGGACCCAGGGGCGATGCTCAACACCCACATAGTAGCTAACAAATGCCTGTGACTTATCAGGGGATCTGGTGCCTTCTTCTGACTTCCGTGATGTTAGGCACGTGGTCCACATGCATACACGCAGGGAAAACATTCATACATATAAAACAAATATGTATTCGTATTAATACATATGAAACAACAACATAAATCAATCTAAAAATAAGTAAGTTTGTTTGTATGTGTGCTGTCTGTGTGAATGTTTGCCATGTGTGTCCAGGTGCCTGCAAATGCCAGAAGGTGCTGGACACCTTGATGTTGAGCTACAGGCAGGTATTAGCTGACCAACATAGGTGCTGGAAACCAAATTCAGTTGCTCTGGAAGAGCAACAAGCATTCTTAACCATTGTCTCATCTCCCCAGACTCACTTGTTCCCTTTGAATGACAAAGAGTTCTCCGTTTGGTGACTTTAGCAGGTTTGAATGATTATCACTAGAGGCCAAACTAGGCCTGAACTCCAAATCTCTCTGCTAGGTGGATCCTTCTGCCATGTTCATCTCGAACCCTGCACCATCCAGTGTGCTCATGAAGATAAATACCACATTGTTTTCTAACATGAGCTATTTAATTGCCCAAGTTAGTTATAACATTTAGATTTAAGGAAAGACTATTTTCTTTCTTTTTCTTCCTTTTTTAAAAAAATTTAAATTGGAAACTACCTTGTTTAACATGCCAATCCCAGTTCCCTCTCCTCCCCCTCCTCCCCAGTCTCCCACCTATCCCCTATCCCATCTTCTTTCTGCTCCCCAGGGAGGGTGAGACCTTCCATGGGGATCTTCAAAGTCTGTCATACCATTTGGAGCAGGGCCTGACCCTCCTCTGTATGTCTAGGCTGACAGAGTAACCCTCTATGTGGAGTGGGCTCCCAAAGTCCATTCCTGTACTAGGGATAAATACTGATCCACTACCAGAGGGCCCATAGATTGTCCAGACCTCCAAACTGACACCCACATTCAGGGGGTGTGGAACAGTCCTCTGCTGGTTTCCCAGCTATCAGTCTGGATTCCATGAGCTCCCCCTTGTTCAGGCCAGCAGAGGAACGACTAGTTTCAATTCTCACAAATATCCCTTCTTCAAATACCCCATTTCTGGATGAGACAATTGATGATATTTAGATAAATCATTGTTTTTAATCGTCATCCAAGCTGCAGATCATGACTTTGTTTCAGTACAAAAGCTCTAATTTCAAAATTGAAATTTTGATTAGTTACATCTTGATATTTCCAATCTCAAACACCACATTTGGCTTTGTTTTTGCCACAAAAATCTGGTTGGCATCAACCAACAGTATTTTACAACTCCATCTTAACATGTGTATTTCTAGAGCTTGAACATATTTGACATTGTGACAATTTAATTTTAATGTTCATATAAATCTTAAGTTGGAAGAAATGCTATTATCATCAGTTGAATGTCCAAGTCATTATCATAAACAGCTTTTGACACTATCATTAAATTGCCAATATTGTTAGTCTGCTGATAGCCACTGTGATCTGAGGGCAACTCATGTACCTTTTTTTTTTCCTATCAGAACGATGAATCTAGGAAATTCCTTGATGCTTAATAATTATCACTCTGAAATAGATATTTCAAAGGGAAACCAGAAGTAGACTTGTCTTTGCTATAAGATGCTTCATTTCCTGGCCATTGGAACTGTCCTCCCTTATCCCACCCACCCATTTGTGGGACACGGAAACTACAACATTATTGCACAAATGATTTTGAACTCACGGATCATTAGACTTTGGAATAAGAGTGCCAAGCTCCTTGATTCGGTAATTAATATTATACCTTCTTCTTCTTTCAACTATTAAGAAAGAAATATTATTGATTATTCTCATTAAAACACAGTTCACTGTTGGTCAGCTGTAAATTTAATAATATTTTAAAAATAGTAAAAAAAGACATTCCCCATTAGTCAAACGACAGTTTTTAATAATAAGATAAAAATTCAAATATGTCTTATACTAGCAGGAAAATTTGTAATAATAGAATTGTGAATTGTACTTCATAACATGATAAAACGTTTTGCCATAAAATACTTTTGTTCTTTGAATTTGCTCCCAGTGCTATATACGTAGACACATATATTCGTATGTTTATTCTGTTTGTTTGATACCTCACACATAGACATTCTGGCAGTCTATTAGTATAACTTTTCTGCTTTACCCTTCTCATTCACTCTCCTCAATTTTTAGCACATGGCAAGTGCCTGTGATCAGTTGACTATAACTGTATCCTTTGGGCTGGAGAATTGGCTCAGTAGTTAAGAGCACTTGTTGTCCTTGAAAAGGTCCCAGGTTTGATTCCCAGTACTTGATGGAAGTTCAGCACCACTTTGGGCATCAGGCATACATGTGGTGCAGAGCACTCATACATGTAAAATAATAATAAAATAAATCTAAATAAATAAATCAAAATTAAAAGTTTTTTTTTAAAACAAGGTGGTAGAGGCACAAGCCTTTAAAGCCAGCACTCAGGAGAAGAGGCAGAGGTTGACAGATCTCTATGAGTTCAAGGCCTGGTCTACAGAGTCCCAGGACAGCCAAGGCTATACAGAGAAACTGTGTTTTTTAAAAACTTAAAACAAAACAAAAACCAAAAAACAAAACAAAACTGTATCTCTTAACTAAATTATGTGAATTAGACGACTAGTTTGTTTTTCTTTAATTAACATTTATTTAGTGTGTGTGTGTGTGAGTGTGTGTGTACATGCATACAATAGCATGTGCAGAGGTCAGAGGAGATCTGGTGGGGACAGACACTCTCCTTGCATTGTATGGCTCATGGGAATCGAACTCAACTTGCTGGTCTCGGCAGCAGCGCCTTTGCCCACTGAACCTTCTCACTGGTTCTACTTTCCTTTGAAGTTTTCATATAGATAAGTGGTTTCCGAACTCTTGCTGGAAGCAAACATATCTGGAAGGATTGTTGAACCAATTTTTACCTCACCTAGGAATTCTGACTTTGGATGTCAGAATATGCATTTCTAAAATTTCATTAGGTGAGGCTGTTATTATTACATGTATTATGCTGCACATTCAAGAAATGTGGATATGAGCTCTATAAATTTCTCTCTATATATTTTTCTATACATTTATCATCTATAGCAATTTTGTGTATGTAGAAACTATTCACTATGAGTGATATAATAATTTCCTATATTGGTCCTATATAATATTATTGCAGTGGGTTACATATATAAAGTAAGTGTTCCAGGAAATTTGCACCAAAAAGGACCATGAAAAAAAGAAAAGCATACTTCAAAAACATTGTGAAATACCCAAATAGTGCCTCCTTGAGAACTAATATCTGCTGCATGAAACGAGGGAAGTCACTATCAAAAATCATTTGTCTTCATAAACCTTCTCTACAAAGTGAGGTGACCACTTATGAGCTTGGTCTTTGGGAACAAACAGCACATTCAAGTTAGAATACAGTTAATCATTGAGCTTTTTCAACCTCTTCACTAATCATCTTGTTTCTTTGTATATGACTTACAAAGCAGCTAAATGTTTCTATATAAATAAACAAAAGTAGAACAGATAGAAAAGCATACATGCTTTAGAGGGAGGATTTAATAACAATTCTGTGTTCACATATATTATCACTATATCATCTATCACATATATTATCACTATATCATCAATGAAACATACAACAGCAATGAAGAAAATTCATGGTTTTATCACCAAATACTTTACTTTGATGCTTGTTCAAAATATTTTACCTAATGCCACATTTTGCATACTATCAAAAACTTCTTTACTCTTCTTCGATTCTACTTATGCCATTTTCAACGGATAATTTACAAGTTGAGTTGTTCTTGAATATATATTTGTGGATGTCACTTGAGATACTGATGCTCTTCAGACAAGACTGAGCACTCTAAACCCAGGCCTTGCTGCTCATCTACCTCTCTCACCAGCATGTCTCCATCTCATGTGACTGTCACAAATCAGAGTCAAATTGACCAAAAGAATGCATGAGGAACTCAGCATTACAATATAAGCCGCACCTTTCAGTTAATGTATCATTGAAAAGGGAGGAGCAAATTGATTCTGAAAAATGAGAACATGCCCTTGAGTCTAACAACATGAAGTACATTTTATAGCCAGTTTGTTTCTTTTTAAAACTTTTTTCTTTTTTAGTTTAAATTAGAAACAATCTTATTTTATATGTCAATCCCAGTTTACTCTCCCTCCCATCCTCCCATGTCCCTCACCGATCCCCATCCTATCCCTCTTCTGCTCCATAGAAAGGGTGAGGCCTTCCATGGGAGATCATCAAAGTCTATCACATCATTTGGGACATGGCCTAGGCTCTCCCCCACATGTCTAGGCTCAGACGGTAACCCACCATGGGGAATGGGCTCCCAATGTCCATTTGTACACTAGGGATAAATCCAGTTTGTTTCTTTAAATCTATGAGTTAGTGAATCAAAACATGTCTCAAATGTAACCAAATGCACTCATCTCAGTCAAGCACACCCTGCCCAAGAAGGAAGGGACAAAAGGCAACTCAGCTTGCCTACTTTCAAGAGATCTCAAGGTTTGCATTTCCAAAAATCGTTCAAGTTGCTAAGCATGAACAATTAATTTCAACCATCCAACTTCAAGTAGTAATGGCATGACAGCAAAAGACTCTTTGCTTCATTCTCCATGTGTTTCCTCTTGAATTAGTTTTGTTGGAAGAAAAAAGAAAACATACTCACTGAGGTTGTGGTTGTCCTTTTTCTGTCTCTCTTTCACCAAAGCTCTAGTGTCAGTTTCTGAACAAAATAAAAATAATTGAAAAGGAGTTGAGTTCTACTTTGAAGCCTTTCCATGCAGCATTCAGAAACACTGGGTAGAAATAGAATATTGTTTGTTCTAGAATGGTGTAATAATAAGTTTGATGCCAATATCAAGGAATTTATGCCAGGAGATATTTTAACAAACAATGACAGAGTCTTTAAGACCTGGAGTAGAAAAAAACCTGACCTGGTTTCTAATTTTCCATATAACAATCATGTGGTCAATTATGAAACTTGTTGCCTCAGGCGCCTCACCTGTGAAATGAATATATCACAATAGCTACCTGACAAACAATGGGAGGGTCTTACAGGCATGTTGCATAGAAAGCACTAAGCTCTTCACTAACTTCTACCATTATTCCCATAATTTTGAGATTCAGAAATTAACCTAGTCCCTTCAAAAATATTTACGTTTTCTACATCAAAGGAATTGGAACTAGCTGTATAATAAGACATGCATGTCAAAGCCATTCTACTACTCAGGAAATAACAAAATTCTCTACAGATTGGCTGGCCATCAGCTTTCAAAAGAGTCCACAGTGATTCCTCCTCCATGATCTTCATAACACAGGTAGTTCCTTCAGCATCAATTGGGATTACGATACCAACAGAATGTTAAGAAAATTCCAAAGTGTGTCTCAAAGCTACTTTTATTGTGTCATCTATAGGACCTTATGGAGAGGTGCACACAGTTACTAAACAATACTGCTCGTCAGCTTCCAGTATCTTCACAACCTATGCGTGCACCAGCTTTGAAATGTATTTTCTAGCCCCAGTCACACGTCACAGTCTGTACTCTGGATGATTTCCAGAACACAGACCCATAAGAGACTCCAAGTCACAACAATTGGTTACACTTGTCCTGGATCTGGATCCCTGGATGGGAGCAAATTGTTAATGGTTGAGAGAAGCATATGAGCAAATAGTAAAATACCAAATCCATTCAATTAATATGGCCTATTAAACAATGATATTAAGAAATGACCAAATTACTCTCAACACGTCTCTCATTTAGCTATTGTGATCATACTTTAAAAAACTATCAGCACGACACTATGTCATTCATATATTTTGCAAATAATGAAAATATTCAAAGGTTAAACTTTTGAAAAAAAATCAACATTACCTGCAACTTCCTTTTTCATGGGCAGAATGCTTGGACAGGAAGCACTCATCAGATTTGCATTAACTGGAGAAATCCCCTGCTCACCACTGTACACATCCAAAATACTACTAGATAACTTATAGAAAAAGGAAAGAGAAGATCAACTAATTAATACCACTGTATACACATAAATATTTAGCATTATATTTTAAATCCCTCATTTTAATTTTGTCACTTTGTAATGATCATGACAATAGATACCATGCTAGTTTTACCCAGAAATATATATTGATTACTTTTAGATACATTATGGAATGATGTGGATAAGATATGCTGAAAATAGTATTTGGATTGCAATAAGAAGAGAGATAAGTTTCCGCATGGAGGAAAAATCTGATGAATATTTACAAACCTATAGGGATTTGAGTTAAATTGTAACATTGTTGTAAATTAGTACTATTAAAATAACTTTTGGAAAAGCGATACACGTCTTAGCAAACCTGGAAGTTCTTTGCAGACCACAAGTCAAGCACAATGGCAAAACCTTTGGGAGTTTCAGAGGGCAGTCAGTACTCTCAGCATCTGGCTCTCAAGAGGAATTTTATGTTGTTGAAGAAGTGGGAAACTATGCTTCCTCAAAGGTGTACATATCTCCACTGTACACTAATGTGTTCTAGATTGGCATAAACACCCCAGCTAGCTGGCAAGCAAGATCACCCTAAGACTCAGTTGCCTCTAGTGAAGATAGGCTCTATTCAATTATAAACTCTGCAGTTCTTGACATTCTTCTTGGGAAGAATCTCTGGGAAACCTGAGGTACTTTATACACAATTCAAAATTGTACTGATTCATTACTTAAACTATGCTTATTGATCACGCAACAAGATTTTATTTAAATAATATTCATATTTTAAATAAACACCAATTGTTTCAGAAAAAGTTACAATTACAAGATAGGATTTAAAATTATAAAATATTTCTATTTTATGTAGCCTTATTCTATTTCTGGGCGGTTAACCAAAGGCTGAATAAGAAGTAGCTTTTTTCCTTTCCTTAAGGTATAGAGAAATATATATATTGTGTGTGTGTAAAGTAATCAAACACAGCTATGCCAAAATTATTGCAGAGAAATTAACTTTATATTCATACTTATTGTGAAATTCCAGTTCAATCTAAGGGAATATTTCAAGATTCAGAAAATCAGTTTGGCAATCAATATGAGGAAAATACCCATTGAAGCTGAAATTAATATTCAGGATAATAAGTTATTACAGTATACTAAACACCAAATAAATATGTTTCTAAGGAAAATCAACTATGATTAAATTATCTAATACAAAAATTTACATTCATGTTGAGAAGGACATTCTAGCCTGCCTTTGTCAGTATGGCATATATTTTTATATACTGGTATCTTCATCATTAAGTTATTTCAAAAGCCTCATCTTTAATTTATCCAGCTTATATTTTACTTATATCCACTTGTATTGATTGGGTATGAAATATACTATGCACATGCTCTATCGTGAGCTACACCCTTGACCATAGAAACTCATTACTTTAAAATGTGTTTTTACTTGACAGATTTTAGATGTGGGATATTGAAGTACTTACTCCTTTTTAGCTTACTTATTTTAAAAACAAACAAAGGTTACTGAATTGGAAAGATGATGTACGTGAATCTCTGGCAAATACAATTAGGAGGTGTTCCGCAATGCAGACCATTTCCCTAAGACTTGCGTCATTTAAACGGAGCTTTAAACATACACATTTTTCATGGTCATGTTTGAATAGCTTGTTGGTTATGAGCCGAGGCATTCTCACCTGAGTTGTACATTTCCACTGTGCCTTTGAGAAATATAATGGACGAGTGGAACAAAAAGACAGGGAGTGGAGGGGAAGGAACTAGGGAAAGGGCACTTTTCTTCTCAAGAGCTTGAATTCAGATGGATTTCAATGTAGACTGGCAAATTGCAGAAACGTTAAAAGAAGAAAAGGGCCTCTAGTCCATGGACTGTAACAATGCAGACAGAGAGGCTCCTAAACACCGGGTCCACAGTTCCTGCTCAGACACTCCTCCTGCAGTATTCCTTATAAACAAACAGGACAGGGTTCTGACAATGAATCTCATACTGCCTAACTCTAGCGAGGTGACGTCATTCCCTGACCTCGGTTACAGTCTAATTTATGCCTTAAAACATAATGATTAATACCCTATTTAATTTTATGCTGTAGGTACTGTTCTATTTCATGTAAATGGCTAATCACTTTTTTACTATCGTTAGACTGTTGAGTTTCCAAGAATGTAATACACTTCAGGTCATCTAAGGAGGCTCCTCCCCATTAGAAGTTGTGAGAGGGCAACGTATTGAATGCATACATACCCATCGAAAGCGCTTACAAAGCAAATTTGCATCTACTTATGTCGGAGGTGTGCATTAATCAGTAACAAGGCCTCTCTTTGTAGATCTATAAGCAAATAGGTACTTTGTGAAGATGCTTTTATTCTTGTTAAGAAAAGGCAGACTGATTTCTCAGTAAGTAAGTATATTTGATATGACAGTGAAGGAATGTCTTGTTACCAATAAAAAATAAATAATTTATCTTAAAATCCATTTAAAAGGATCAAGTATACATCTCTGGAAGAGAACGAAAACATTTCTAAGAAGCTGCTCAATGATGAGCAGTGATCTCATGGTATCTAGATTTTACTCACATCTCCGCTCCTGAGATCTGAGGAACAGAAATAACCTGGATCCAGCATTAACAAGTGATAGATCCTTTCAAAGCAGCCAGTACTAGGGGGCGGGGAGTATTTACATGTCAAAACAGCAAAACATAGGAATTCGACTATTTTGGCAAAATAAACAACAACAACAAAAACACAAAGGAACATTAGAAATGACAAAAGGAAATGAAACAGAAAAGCAAGTGAGATCTAGTTTGTTAAAGTAGCCTAAAATAAATAAGGGGAGGTTTTATAATAATTTACAATAAAATAATACGTAACAGTGAACCTGCAGGAGGGAATTTTATTTTGGTACTGTAATCCTGATCAAAATCCTGTGGCCAGGGGAATCATAGACCTTTAAGAAGCACCTACTGTTGTTATTTTTTGCTGAATTGTCACGCTGTCAAATTACCTTCCAAATACTTATGCTCATATGGATAGACCTAGGCTGAGATCTGCCAGTTCAAAAAAGCTTCCTTCATCAGTGGACACCAGCCAATGGGGGTGGATAACTGCTCACTGTGCTGAGACAAAGAGACGAGACAGGGTGCTCAGGCCTAAGCAGGACATCTGTCTTAAGCCAACTCCAGGGTTCAGGAAACATTGCACATTCCAATAGAGGAGAGAGAAAGAACACAAGAGCCAGACTATGGAGGAAAGTGCTGTGAAATGAGTTTTCTGGCCACACCATAGCCATCCTGTGCATGAACTCACAACAGCTGTGTCACCTTAGCAAGATGAAGCCAGCCCAAGTCCCAGCACAGATATGGTAGATGACCACCATTACAAGCAGCAATCTGCTACAGATAGCTGCTGAGAGAGAGGCATTCTTTTCATAAGGCTGTGGCCACTGGTAGGTTCCCCATGCCCCAGCACATGGCCCCACACCCACACACAGATGGACAGTACTAACCAGAGTTAGTGGACTATCAAAAAAAAAGTTATTCAGTTGGAAAGAGGATGTGTTGGGGGTTGAGGGAAGGAAGCAAGATGGGGAAATGAGTGTAGATGTGATCATATTTCATTGTGTACTAGTATGAAAAATCTCAAAAATAAAGAAAAATTTTAAATTAATAAAATATTAGAACTATAAAATGCTTATACAATGACAAGAGAAAATATGTAAGTTTTTTTCAATAATGCAATTAAGAATTAAGTGTAAAGTAAAAAATGAATGAATTTTAAAACATGAAGGAAAAATTATATATGTCTTTTATATTCCAGCCTTGATGACATGCTGGACATAATCATAATATATTATCTAAAATTTTAATGAATTAATTATAAAAAAGGCTTACTTCCACAAACAGTGAAAACAATGAGTGAAGTACTGAAAAGGAGGAGCTATTTAAGACTGTTTCCAAATTATCAGATAAAGTTGATCAAATACCTTAGAAGAGTGATTGTGGAATGTAAGATAAAGGTGATGGTGGAGATTGAGATCAATGACAAAAGAGAAGTGTTCAGTTTTTGTAATTCTAGCTAGAGTGAATTAGGGTAACAAGGAAGTGATATGAAATTATTATGGAAATATACTTTTTAATTATTTATGTTTATGGGTGTTTTGCCTATTTTATATCTGGTACCATGTGAGAGCCTAATGGTAGAAAGTATCAGATCTCCTGGGACTGGCATTGCAGACAGTTGTGAATGCCATATGGGTGATGGGAATTGAACTTGGGACCTCTGGATGAGCAGTCAGTACTCTTAACTACAGAGTCACTTCTCCAGCACCAGGAAATATGCATTAAAAATAGACCATAAATAATCTAAAGTGAGAGAAAAATCATGAAAATATTTTGTACTAGAGTTCTCTGGAGGAATAGAATTTATAGAAATTCTATATGAAATTATTTATATAAATGAAAAATATATATTCATTTTATATGTGTACATATGTATATAAGGGATTTGTTAGAATGGCTTACAGGCTGAAGTACAGCTAGTCCAATAATAGATCAACAGAATGTCCAAAAATCCAGTAGTTATTCAGTCCATGAGGGTGGATGTCTCAGCTGGCTTTTAGTATATGTCAGAATCCCAAAGAAGCAGGCACTAATCCAGTAGAGGAATGGACTTGGTAGTGAGAGCGAGGGCAAGTAGGCAAAGAGGCTTCCTTCTCCCATGCCATTTAAGTGGGTTTCCACAAGAATGCATGTCTCAGATTAAAGGTGCACAGTCTCACCTCAAAGATCTGGATTAAATATGTATCAGTCCACAAAAGATCTAGATTAAAAGTGGATCTTCCACTTTAAATGGTTTAACTAAGAAAAAAATCCCTCACAGGAGCACTAGCCATTGGTTTTCATTCCCAATGTAGTCAAGATGGCAACAAAGGATAGTCATCACATATATAAATAATAATTATCAATATCACTTAATCACCCTACCTAAAATGTAAACTG